TCAATAAACGTAATAGTAAAAATTTAATTTATTGTGATATGCTTTACTTATTAAAAAATAAGGTTTCAGATTGAGCGCTCATAATGAGCCCTCGGGCTGAGATTTAGCTTGAACTACTGCATTTGAGATTTCAACGAGGAAAATAAGGTTTGGAACAGTTCATATAACCAAGTGATGAATTGATTATTTTTTTTATCGTATTAATTAGCAAATTGATTCAATTTAACTCAATTCATCAGTGGAAAAATTTCATCAACACTTGAATTTGAGATGAAAAATGCTTAACATTTAATCATTCAATTATTGCAGCAACAAGAAAAAACACTTTTCCTTCTCATTTCCATTCATAACCATTTCATCGTTTCTCTTCTCATGTTACACATGATGAACATGAACAGTATTCAAGAATCATTAGTTATTCAATGTAATGTAAATGGTTGAAATTGAAATTCAGTTTCACAATACATGTAATTATGCCATTGTTGTCATTCCTCTTGTCAAAACGTAACCAAAATGCCAGAAGGAAAGTTTCATCTTGAAGCTTTTTTTCAGAAAGACAAACAGAGGAAAAGATGATTACAATGAAACTGTTATAATGAAGATTTCCAGTTAATCTGATCTTTTCACCAACATTTACCCAATTATATCAATAATGCCCTGCCTTTCGTGTAAAGACAAAAATAGTAAAAAATCTCTTTTCACTCCCAGTAATAAGCATTTATCTGATAATTAACGTTAATTACAAGAGAAGGGAGTAAAAGCGATTAACAAATTTCCCAACTTCAATATTAATGTGAAAATTAAATTTAATTATTGGATAACAAGATTACTCGGAGTGAATTTAATGCCAAGAGAAAAAAAACATTTTTCTTTTGGTGTTTGATTGGTGAATTAGGTAATCGTACCATTTAAAGCAACTTTACATTGCAAATCACTGGTTAATGTTAGACAAGTTTTTTATGCACAAAATGCCAGTTCAGAGGCTCAATCCTCTGAGATGCAAGACAGGGAATCGCTAGTTAACCAAGGATGAGAAAGACTTTGAGTGATTATTTTAAATCCATTTCTTTACTCAATCTTGTTTAATCAGTTTCACTTGTTAATAAAATATGATTCCTTTCACCTTTTAACCTTTTCTCGTCTGTTCACAAGTTCAACTCGACTGGAAAAAGGTGCAAATGTTGTGTCTGGAAACTGAACAAAATGTCTTCGACTTTGATACAGACGTTTCAGAAAAGGCAACTTGATGCAACATGAAATGGTCTTTATCATTGAATGGCCGGAATCATGAGCAAAGTTATTAGTCTAGGTTATTGACTTACAAGTTGGAAAAATTTTGAGATTTTCGCTTTAACACATCAACTGAAAATGAAACATTTTCACTTAAAACTGTTTTATTGTGTTACAATGTTGACCCAACAGTTTAACACTTGTCTCTGTTTTTTGCACTATTTTAACCAAAATCTTTTCACATTTCATTGGCAAAAAGAGATTTCATTTCATGGTAAATTCAATTATCCTTTATTAAATTGGTTAACTTGTGATAATATTTTTCAAATTTTATCTCATTTAATCCGTTACATTTGACAGCATTCAACTGATGTTTCCCTCACTCCTTTGTTATTGATGATGAAAATAATTCCCTGACGATGATAAATCTGTTCAAGTTCAACATTAAGTCTTACAATTGACATTCAATTTAGTTGATAAAATCTAGATACATGAGAAAGAAAAGGCGAGAAAAGAGAGAAAAAACAAAATGCTCTTCATTAATACCATTTGAACTTTACATTGAAACATGTAAATTATATCAACCTTTTAAAATACTTCATGAGACTGACTCAAGTCTAATATCATTAAGAGTCAAAATTTATGAAAATAAATGAAAGGAAAGCTTTTAATTTTTAAACTTTTTCCTTTCCATCAAAATGGTTCATTAAAATATCAAACTAAAGTAATTGCTTTAAATTATAACTCATTATCTGATCAAGTTCATGATTGATGTGAAAAATAATCTCAAATATCTGAAAACAATTTGCCCGTCAATTTGCTAATGTAATCAAGAAAAGGTTTTTCGAAATTCGAGTTCAACGCGACTTTAAAATGTAAAAAACTAAAACTTTATTTTTACTTTACTTGATCAAGTGTATAAAATGAATGTTAATGTTGGTTAAAGTTGCTATAAATCTTTCATTGAAACATTTTCCTTTCGATTTTTCGACTTCGTTTTTAGTTCAAACTTTTTGTATTACAAGCATTGGAAAATTGTCACTTTTAATTGATCAATAAATCATCTAATTAAGTCACCAATTAACCTTAATTATTCAAAATTTTGCACAATTAAAGTTGAAAAAGATTCTCATTAGTTTAAGTTGGCCTTTATTGGCAAACAAATTAGCTTTTATGAAAAGACTAACGACTAAATTGATTAATGTTTAGTTTTGATGCCTTTTCAACTTGCTTTTGTCATGGAATCAGATAAAATGATCTTTTTCTCTTTACCTATTCTAATCTGAATCTTACATGAAACCTTGTTCAGTCTATTCATGGTTGACCTAGCTTCAGACGAAAGATAAATGTTTGGCTAAAAAGGTTTATATTAATTTGAAAATGTTTAGTTTTGATTAAACGAAGGTAAAGATTGTGTAAGTTTCGCATTCATCAAGAGGAAAATCAGTTAATCACTAATGAATCATTCTTGTGTAAACAGACTGGTTGTCATCACTGAGCCATGATGGAGTTCAAAGTGGAAATTATCAAAATTTCTTCTTCTTTTTTTGAACATAAAAGACAAGAGACTCAGTATTTGTTGAGAGTTCAGTTGAAGACATGAGAGCATTATTAATGTATAGTTATTAGTATTTCAATTATGTTTGCTCTTGGTACAATTTTCAACAACATTCCTCTCATCATTTCAAGGCTCAAGTTGAACAAGATGCTACAAGTGAGGAAATGAAACTTGAATGAGAAAAGGTAAAAACTAAAGTAGGGCAAAAATCCGAGAATCCAATATCGACATTGCCTAAAGTAAAGTACAATATTATGATAAATGTTCACCTAATGAGATACATAAGATAACAAAGTGTACGACATTGGCAAAGGAGTAAAAAGTGGCTCTTGTAACTTCATGTTATTTCCCATTAAATTTGAGTAAATTTGTTTACATTCGTGGGAACAATATCGCTTATTGGAAAACATGAAAACATGAATGAAATGTTTTCCTTTTGCAAATTCAAGATTCTTTGATAGATTTTGTTTCGATATCAACAAGTATCATGACTTGAAGCTAAATTCAACAAATGAAAATAAAAAACAACGAGGTTAATCGATTGATATTGATCAGGGCAAATAACCTCCAAACTAACCTGAAAATGTAGAGAATCTTTGGAAAATTGTTCAAGCAAAATTCCCAATTTTTGCAAAGTTTCTAAAGTGCGTTCTAGACCATTCCAAGATTCATCTCTACCAATATTGCCTTAATGATGACATTCTGTTTTACCTGCAAGTTTACTCTTGACTGATTATTTATTCAACTGAAAATAAGGCTGATTTAATAAAAGATTACAACTTATTTTTATATTTAAATCTGCTTTGTCAAACTGGTCACAACACTTGACCATTAAAATTGGATTATCATTAGAGTTGGTCAGAAGGAAAAGTTGATGAAAGGAACAAGAAATGGCAGGTTAGAACAGCTTGATATTGTTTCCAGGAATCATGGGCTTCAATCTATAAATAGACGGAAAAAGTTTGATGAATGTTATGAAGGAATAAGGAATGGCCAAGAAAACTGTTGAAATTGAAATGCAAAAATAACTTTTCCCTTTAAAAACTCCTGAAAATGTAAATTCATTGCAAATATTGACCAGAATGCTGTAAATTCAAACAATTGATTAAACCACTTTCGATTTAGTTTCACTATTTTCTGGCCAACATTCAACTTGATTTAATGCTAACCGATTGATTATTGCATACAATACGAATTGGCAGCCATTAATCTTTTCCATTGCTATAATGGTCAGTTTGTATTGTACACATTGCTCGTTAATGATACGCAATTTGGTCAGTTTTTTATTGAATTTTGCTCTTTTCGCAAGAAAATTTGTTCAAATGTTGGTTCCTTTTCCAATAAAAAGATTGGTGCCAATTTAATCTTTCAAAGGTTTTTATTGAAAATTGAATTATTACTTTTTAACACATTAAGTGTTGGTTAGACTTTACGAAGTGACTATTAATCTCAATAGTTTAAACTTGTGCAGAATTTCATTGCAATTGAAATTACGTGAAACGAATAAACAATCCTTTTAAGCAAACTTTCGAAGCAAAAGAACAAGACAAATGAAGTGTGAAAACAACATTCAAAATCGAAAATTAAAAGACTTTTCTTTCATCTAATCGAGTCAAACCGTCTGCATCAAATTAGCTTTGCAATAGAAGAGAAAACAATTTGAATTTCCATTGAAATGATATTCATTTCTATCTAACAAGAACCAATCAAAATATATTTTCGGTTGAAGAGATTATCTGTTTATTTCCAATCCAAATTGAACACTTTATCAATCAGCTCAATGGTGACCGGAAAAGTTAAAGTCTTTAACAAGAGATGAGCTTTGGAAAGGTTTAGCCTGTGATTTTGTTCGCAATTCTTGTTGTAATGTATTCCTTAATAGATGGATTGTAAATCCATAGATAATTGATATTCTCGATTCTCAACAGAAAACAGAATTCTTCTATTAATATTAATATATTCGTTTCCTTTTACTGTCCAAAGGATAAATGGATTAACTCTCAACAAATTGGTCTTCTTCATAAATGCTTTATATTCTAGTTGAAATGATAATTTACTTTAAATGATTCAACACTTGACCAATAACTTGAGTAGCCATTGTAATAAAATGTTGAAAATGTATTCCTACATGACTGTGCAAATCGAATCTTGTTCAATGTTCAATATTATTTTGAAGTTCATTTCTAATTTGATTTTCTCATTCTTCAATCAGATATCGAATTGTCATCAATCCAATGAAACCCAGGATTACCAAGACTACATGTGTTGCGTGCCTAATACTGATTTGGCTCTTTTCATTTTTACTATCATTGCCGACCATTGTCTATGCTACGTACATAACTTATGATATGAATGGAAACTATACACGAAAAATATGTCTCCTTCAATGGCCTGATGGGCTTCCTGGCCGATCCGAAGCCGACTTTTAGTGAGTATTGTGTCATTACAAGTCAAACAAGTCAAAGTATAAAAACATTTTCTTCTTTCATTTACAGTTTTAATTTAGTAATATTTGCTGTTGACTATGCGATTCCAATGGTTCTAATGTCAGTCACATATTACCGTATCGGTCGAGTCTTTTGGGGAAGCCAGGCAATTGGTGAATTAACTGAGGGTCAACGTGAAGCGATTCGTGGTCGACAGCGAGTCGTAACAATGTTGATAACAGTGACTGTTCTGTTTGCCATTTGCTGGCTTCCATATCACATTTATTTTATTTACATAAAATACGATCCAAACATTATTACACACAAATACATTTCCAACATTTACCTAACAATCTACTGGTTAGCCATGTCAAACTCAGCCATTAACCCTGTGATTTACGCCATCTTAAGCAAAAGGTAAGTTGACCATTCGTTGGCCCTCTCAAACCAAAATGAACCTTTTGGGCAACACTGGCAAAATTTATCCAAACAAAATGATGCCATTATTCACAAAACTTCTGAGCATAAAAAGTGAGAAAAAATCAATTTTCTCATTTCGTTGGCCTTTTCGCTCATTTCCATTTTCAATCTCGACTATAAATAATGATTAACATGATGCTGGTATACAGTAAATCGTTTATCTGTTTTTTTCAGGAAAAAATTGTTTGCCAAGAGAAGCATTATTAAACACTGAACTGAGTTACATGGCAAATTATTGAGATTATAACACGACAATTAAATCAGAGATGAAAAAAATGATGTCACTAACAGGACTTTTATTGTTGCCTTTTCATTCCCTTCATTCCCTTTGAATCCTCTCTTCCCCATTATCATCATTTCTTTCTCAATTACATTCCTTCTGATATCTCTTTCTTTTTTTTTCTCCTCCAAGTTTCAATATAAAAAAAACATTCAACTCTCTTATGGGCTATTCACTTTCCTCATCGTTATCATTATTACATTTTCACTCCCAGTTGTTGCAATGATAACAACAGCCTGACATTTTATATCTCTAGTGATCGCAAGATAGTTGATGGAGAAACGTAAAAATATATATCATTTCCTATCATCATCATTATTGTTTCTCGTTTCGTTGGCTTGATTAGTCTATTTTTAATCTTTTTTTACGTTCAACTTTTCCTCTCGTAATTGATCTAAAAATCAATGGATTCATTTCAAGACTAAACTTTAACCTCAACCCTTTATTTGTTTCACACTTTTCCCATCGAAACACTTTTTTCCAAACAAATTGCCGAATATCACAGCTCATTAGCTCTTTTCCAACTCTGTTTACCTTGCAATTAACACTAGATTAATGTTGACAAACTTAATCTATTTAATAGTAATTATTTGAAACACTTTTTCACCTCTTAATTCATCACTTGTAATTAGTGACAAAACATTTTCACCATTATTCACTTCAAGTTATTCGTTGTTCAAACATTGTTCAGTAAACTCGTAACTCAATGTTTGGGAAAAGGAAAAAATATTTAGATTTGGTTTGAAAAAAAGATGAAAGTGAGAGATATTGCATTTATAGCATTTCTGGCAACTTTACATGATCAAGTTAACAACAATTTGATGGAATCGTCTGAATGAACAACTTTTATTTAACTTGAAACGCTTCGTATTTGCTCATCTTTTGATCACATCAAAGGAAAGCTTGATCCTTTTGATAAACTTAACCTCAAAAAACAAAATAATGCAAGTTTCTAAGGATTTGGGTAAAAATGGATCATTTTGTTATTCGTTGTAATGTTTTTTTCATTCAACTTGTAACTTGTTTTTTTGCATCTTTATGCACTTTTTCCCTGTTATCCTATCATCTTATTGATAGTGACCCATTTTAACAATCAATTTATTTTATTATTACCATTTTTATTGTACTCTTTTCGCGACTTTTTTTCTCTCCTCTTCTTTTATTAATATTTTCATTTTCCTTTCCGAGTCTATTGTGTCCAAACAAAGCCTTCAAGGTATAAACCTTGATCATTTGTTATCATTACAACTATTAATAATACAATCATGTTGAGTTTTGTTCAATGTTTGGTTCCATCAACACTCTGGTAAATATTATATTGAAAAAAGCTTTTCATCATTTTTTCCATGTAACGATATTAATATTAATCATTGAATTCAAGAGCGAATTGAAAATTGATGGAAAAATTTGATTCATAAATTGTTGAATGCAATGAGCTTTAATGCTTTTTACAAATAACTTCGATTTATAAAACCATTTAAAATAATCAATATTAAGAGATCCTTTTAATTCCTTTTAAAGATAACCTTTTAATTTAAATTAGTTATTAGATGAAATTGAATTACTTTATCATGATTAAATAGTTAATGTGCTTCAACAGAAGTTTAACAGATTCTGGATTATGACTTCAGATACGGTGAGAACGCAGTAGCGAAGCATTAGTTGAAGGAAAATTGAATGTTGCTTTCAAAAAGTTTTGAACAATTGTGTTCAATAATTGGAGATTAACTCTGATCAAAAAGACCAAGCAGTGTCCACATTTTGCTAGAATATTGTTTCTCGATATTTGCTTCTGGAATGATACTTTGTACTGACTTTTGATATTATCGACGAAGATAAAGATAAATGATGAAAGCATGAAAGACATTCATGCATAAGGAGCGAGTGATGAAAATGTAATGGACTGAAGTTAGACTGAACCCTTTAGCAAGAAAATTAAAGATGTTACTTGGAACTGGTTCCAATGCAATAAAGTCATTCAATTTAGTTTATTGAGTTATGTAAAAACCTCAACTACTTTCATCATTACTTTATTCAAGCATAAGCGATAATATCGGTAAATCGATAAATGTTTCTGCAAAAAAAGTATATTGCAATATTGATGGACTAAAGTTCTGATTAGCGTTCAATCTACAAAAGTTACATAATAACAAGTTACTTGAAAGCAAAGGAGATCATTAAGTACCCCATGAGCTAAAACGAGTGAAAACGAAATGTGAAATGATCATTTCTCACAATCATCTTGATTGAAAATCCAGACAAATTGCGAAAGCAAAGACAATACAAAGTAAAAAGCTAATAACCTTAAAACAACCACTAAACGATTCGCAAAAAGCAATTAACCTCATTAGAAGTTTAACAATTCTTCACTAACTAATCAATTTAAAAAGGGGATAATTTGATTATGATAAAGCAATTAAATCATCAACTGTCTTTGTCTACAATAATTTACTCCAACAGGTTATATTAATAATTCATGTGCAAACTACTTACAAGGGAACCGCGCCAATCATACCTGAGGGATTTTGATGTGTGATAGCGCAATCGATAGGGCTAACCTTCCATATAAACAGGCCAATGGCTTTTGTCTGTAAATTGGGTGGTTCCTTAGATTTTTGGGTTTAAAGTTGAGCCATTTTTGTTTTAATCAAAATTAAAATTATGTAATTTTAAGTAGTTGCGGTGGCGCAAGGGTTAAGGCACTTGCAAAGGTTTATGGTTCTCTTGGTTCGAATCACGTTTGGGGCAATTTTTATGAAAATTTTTTCAATATTTTTTTTTGATTGATTTTGATTTAGGATTGTCCCTGGAATCAGTTAAAACAATTAAAAATCAAAATCAATCAGCAAGTAGATCTCATGGTTGGGTGGCTCCTTCGCTTGG